GCCGACAATTTTTTTTAAATTGAACGTCCATTTTAGTTCCCGAAAGTAGCCCGATTGACGATGTTGTGGTACCAATCGATGATGATATTGAGGGTGTAGATGACGATTGCGGCCTTGGTCTTTATGAGGTAAGTTAGGTTTAATGTCACCGTGTTTTCGTACATTCCATGATATTGCTGCTGGTCGCCTTATTTGAAACATTTCCCATTAACCGAAAACAGGTACAAACTGATTTAACGAATATTTATAAATCATTTTCACTTGAAGACGTCAGAGCGGAGAGATACGTATTATCAGTACGTGCTAATTTTTAAAATAGTTCAGGTAATGCAGTGTCATTTTTAAATAAAAACTTTCTAAACAGTGCGTGTATTTCGATGTTCGTGCTTTGACGATACAAAGTAATTTTTGTCAATTTCATGCCTGATTTCTTACCAATTTTTTCTCCAAAATTTGCCAGGTTTCCTGTGCTGCTCGAGTCGTATAGATTTTTTTTGTGCATTTAAATGCAAATTAGTCTTACTGCTGACGGCTTTGTGGTCTAGTGACGTCCCAAAGTGAGCATATGTTTTTTCGAAAACCTTGGGCTTGCTAACATGTTTGTTAATACAATTGTAAGTTTATCTTTCGCATAAGATATAGTGGCAATATACTTAGTTTATTATTTGTGGGAAATTTTAAAGAAATTTAAGGCAAATTGGGAGTGTGTCAAAAAAGTGCTTCTCCTGCAATTGCCTAAATCTGCAGATTTTGGATAAAATACTTTTTTTAAATCCGCAATTAATTGGCTGTTTTTAAGGGTTAGGAATTATTTCATTTAATGCCAGGAAAAATGATTTCCTACTGACACAATTTCGTTATGTTTCATCAGCATCAAAAATAACTAGATTGAAAGTGAAATTCACACTCCTTCCATGCTAGTGAACATTATGTATATCCATAATCACGAATTTGTATCTTTTTTAAATTCTTCATTTTTACTACCAGTAAATCTCACTTAGATGTATCGGCTTATCAGCTTCACGCCCCTTGCGTGAATGATGGTTTCTACTCTGTGCAACAAAACTAAATGTAATTTAATATTCATATGGCAAACCTCCTTATATCAAAAGCAAAAGTTAGTTAATGATGTTATTTACTTTACGATCTTGTGAATTGTTTGTAAGTAAACTCTTAAGAGAACACAGATTTTCCATGACAAACAGACAAGTTGGCATAATCCTTCGTTGATTTAGGCCCAACAATTCACAAGTCGGTAAATATCCAGCACATTCAAAAAGATACCTCAGTTGGATGAACCGTGACGTCCCTTCCACAGGTGTGTACAGCGCAACGGTGCTGTAATAGGGAAATGCCTCGTTGTAGTGGAACCACACTTTATAAATATGCCTTCAGTTATTCACTCCTGGTAGATAAGCCTTGTTCAAAATGACAACAGCATTGGTGCCTGTCACAGCTCCCTCAAACGTCCACGCTCAGATCAAATTTAGGGTCTCAAATCCCAATTCGTGCTCTTGCACCAATTGAATTGACATTCTGCACGGGAATGGGGTTAATGTTTTCACGTGCCCAGCACTCAGACTTGGCCTCCCAGCTTGAACTTCAACTCATTTATCCAGCTTATTTTCTTCTGGAATATGACATTCCCTCTACAAAGCTGCCACAGAATTCGGGGGAATTTTTTTTAAGAGTCTTAATTCGAAAAATAGGCGTAACTACAAATTTCTAACGAAAAGATAGAATATGTGTGAATTAACTGCTTTGCCTAACACGAGCTGTCTATCAAGCAATCAGTCGTCTTAACAGCTGCTAATGGACTTAAGAATAACTGTGCGTTCATTGCCCGGGTACTTTTAAGCCGGCCATCGTGAGTAATCAGGAATGTTTTGGGTCCTTGGCATTGCGCACAGCCAACGCCATACCTTGGCACTAATTCCAATGAAGTCAGCAAAAATAACCTTCCACAGCAGTTCATTTGTCATTGCATCAGTCATGCCTGAATAACATTCGGATTATTAATTCATCTTAAACAGTCAAAGTAAAACGAAGCAATTGTGCCAAAAGGGCAAAAGAAATAGTACAACAAAAATTTAGTGGATTGCTTACGCACGTCATGTGAACAAGTTTCTAGCTCGTGACTACAACCTATCTAATAGTGTGTAGCTAAAATTAACCTTTATTAACGTGTCCAGTTTTTGTTTGAATCGATCTTGTGTCCTTGGGCAGAGATATTTAAGCGTTTTAACAGTTTCTATTAGAAGTAAACATATCCTGTAATGATAATGCAAATATATTTAAATAGGGAGTTGGTGGATTTCAAAGACTAACATTAAATAGACTTAGGTGAGAAAAATGGCTGTTTTTGTAAAAAAAACTTCGTAAATCGAAATTTCTAGGAGATTTTTAGACAAAATATGACTGCGACAATGCAGTCTAGCTAGGTAAATGTTCTCGTGATTAGCAATGCTCCCAGACACAACGTTTAACAAATTATTTCACCAATAATTATTGAAACAGTAGACTCCGATTTGACTAATATTTGGCTAGTTTGGTCGTAATTTAATCACAATTGTGTTCTGCACTTTACTGTCGATTTTGACATACTATCTGAACTCATGCTGTGATGTTTGTATCAAGTTGCTGATAAACTGACAGTGGTCACCAAAGTTCAATATTCTTTGCAAAAGAGCGACAAGCAATGATATCTTGACCATAAGTAAGAAGCCGTTGGTCCGACGTTTGTTTTACATGAAACTACTTGTTGATTTATTGGGTGATTAATTGTGGATCAATTGAGCCACTTGGTCATGTTTGGTAGTTTGTGTATTTCCTTCATTGAATGTCAAAAAGATTCGAAATTAGAATTCATTATTTGCTGCCAGAAGCTTGCATTTTTTACCAATGAGAGTAAGAAAAAATCACAAATAATTTCAGTCATTCAAATGACAACATAACTTAGAGTTTCCTGTTTGATAAATTCTGCATTTTCGCACACCTAGGAGCTGTTACCGCTGATGAAAATAAAGGCTATCATCTGGAGGAGTAACGCAGAATTTGTAGTTCATGCTAATGCACGACTGACTTTAATGTCCGTCTATTAGTCAACTACTTAAGTAGACTGGATCCGTTAAATCGAAAGTAAAGTGTTACTAGGAATAATGTCGAGTATTTAACCATTATTCGTTGCGTGTATCAACAATTTCAATACCGTTAGGCATATTTACTGCAAAACGTATCTTGGAGAATAAGCCACTTAGCCCGACCTTGCTGTTTTTTATTTATCCCGGCACTTTATTTCGACATCTAAAGTTGCTTACTGGATAGCACTAAAAATTACACTAACTCTGTCCTTGTTGAATATTCGACCGATCATTTTTGTCACAGTTTACCAACGTTCCCCAGCTTAGGTAAAAATGGGAGTGGAAATGTGTGCAACTGTTAAACAATCGTGAAGATATTATGCTATAGGCCTTACGCAGGTGCAACAAAGAGCACTTATAGTAGGACAGAGAAGGTTTTAAAAATAGTTAATTAGCATGTTTAATTCCTCTCCAGATCCTCTAGTTCCTTGTCAGTATCTTGCAGCCGTTTACAAAGCTACGGTTTCCTAAAGTATCAGTCTGATTTTAGATTTTAGACCATTCTTTAATTCCCCCAAGATCTATACCAGGCTTTGGCTTGGTGCAATTTTACCGTTTGCTCCTTTTATAAACCGGTAACCTACGAACTAAATAACTTCCGCCATTGTTTTTTCTAAGCATAGCTCTTTTGGCCTCTCAAAAAATGCCTTTGACTTAAAATTGACATGGCAAAAATATAGTTCACCAATTTTTTGAAAAAATCAAACAGCCCTTTAAAATGTTTTGAATAACGTTTTTTTGTGATGGCTACCAATATTTTATTTGAGCAATATGTGGACTAAATCCGCCTGTTTTTGATGAAACAACAGCAAAATCCTTAACGTGGATAAGTTGATTTGCTCTTCTGAATCAACCCTGTGTTAGGTATCCTGATTCACTTACAGCCTAAAAGTTGTACATAATCTCTCCTGTCACATTAATTAAAAACCTTCTAGGTGAAATTATCCAAATGCCTAACTTAAAAAGACAATTTTTTTAAAGAAATAGGTGAGTCCCTTGAGGGCACTTAATTAAGAGATGGGCTCTAATCCCTAAGAATATATACTTTAACCATTAACGGCCTTTTTGATAATGCATTTATTCAAGCATAATGAATAGAAATTCGCTAAATGGCACTCTAGGCTACCTAAAAAGTGACACTTAGCCTTATTTACCAGCACCAAAGTGTCAAGAATCGAACGACTTCTCGTCTTATAACGATTTAACTTTGCATTACATGATACTAAATTGGAATTAAGAATAATAGATCTATACGCACCTCTGATTGCTTTTAGACAGTTAAAATGATTGGAAGATCAAAGGCACCTTGCGTCTAACTAAGCTAAAAATCAATAAGTCTGATCACGCTCTGTCCGAATTCAGTGCCAGAGTTCTGTAACTGCCACAATGACTCATGATTCAAGATACGTTTGTCTTTTTCGTATTATCCAGACTACCTCTGTTCCAATTGTTAAATGCAAAAATTATTCAAGTGTGGACTCAGCTACTCCGAAAAAAAAACTTTCAAAAGAATTCTGCTAAATGCGAATTTTCTTAGCACCAAAGCACTGATGCACGGACGTTTGCTTCTCATAAATCTTCATTTGAGAGCTGTAAATAAGCTGACAATTATTTGCCCCAAATAGTAAAGCCACAGTCACGTCACATGATGGTGTTATGTAGCAGCTTCATGGTTGATGCATCACGTGTGACCCACAGCTCATGCATGGTTGATTAGTAACGGGATGGGACGTACTGCCCTCAAAAAAGGCGTAAACATTGAAAAGTGTGTAATCAGCTGGATATTTATATATTTTGGATGGCAACGATGCCCAACGACAGGTTCGGAAAGCTCATCCCGATAAAATTGCTAACGGTCACCTAGGAGCTGCTGCACAGGGTGTATCCGTCGCCACGGCCGTTCATTTCCTTGGGCATGAACTTCAACATTAAAGTCACCTTAGTGATTTGAACGTGGTGAAATCGTATGACCGTAGACACGGTCACGACAAACTGCTCTTCTTCTGACGTCTCTGTTAGTGCAATTTTATTCTCACTGCCTTTGCTAAAGCTACTGCAGTCAGCCTCACCATAGTTTGGGCCGATATCGCCCCTCGAAACCTGTCCTAGTTTCTTTCCATGCCTACCCCAAACAATGCCTTCTTCTGCCATCAGTTCCGGTTTCATGTTGTAGTCGTGCTTTTACACTCAAAGAGAACATAATCCTAAATTGCTTTGCGTATTTTGCGTACGCCTTCACAATACCTCAGTCGTTTATCAAAATAATCGACCACAAATGCCCCAACTGAAGTCCTAATGCTTAGTTCGCTTTGTTTCGGTTGTGCATGCCGTCCTGGTACAACTTTTATTGGTGATGAGCTTACAGGTCGTTAGTGTCATTTTACAAGGCGTCCTCAATCAATTCGCAAAACTTTATACCTTTAGGCCTGTTGGAATGTTTTTTTCCAAGACACCCTGGTCTTTCCTACATGCACAATTGATTAGGAAGGTCCTCTACATAGATAATGTCCTCACATTAATTTTCATTAAATTGAAAATGCTAACTAACTTAAGGATTAGTAAAAGCCCAATACAAGGAACCAGTAAAATGAAGGTGGAAGTTTTAACTTTAATGGGAGCTCCAGCATGCCTTGATATTGTTTGGGCTCCAAGTGGCTGGATGCTAAAAAACTTCACCCGTTTTTTTTGTTACACAAGCAGTGTCCTGCCAAGGAGTTGAGTCGTTTTTCTGTCCCTGTTTTTCATTTTTCTTTGGTCCGCAAGGTTGACAGAAAGATATCGTGTTGTTATTCGTATTGGTAGGAAACCTGTGATGATTTTAGGTCAGTTTATAATGCTGCATATCTTCATTTCAATGACGATAATTTCATGTTTCAAGAAGTGTTTGAAATCACAAATTTTGTGAGTCAAGGTAAGTTTTCTAAATTTTCTTGGTGAAAATAATAGCCATGTTGCTGTATTGCTTACTGATGTCAGTTGCTCCAATGTTTCTCAATGGCATTTTATGACATACTACTATTAGTATTTGGGCGTTATAGTCGCAATTCAGTAATATTGCAAACATACCAGCATATTTTGTCCGCACCTTTACTTAGTTTGTGTGCTTATGCACACTACTACTTTTATCCTGTGGCCTTGTCATGTCTCAAAAACGATTTACTTTGTGTGTCGTGTTTGCTTTAGAATTAGCGAATATACGCTAGCTCTCTTGTCACCATTCATTTAAACCGGCTCAGTGCTTCATTTAGAAACCATCCAAACACGGAGTTTTTAATTGGGGTTTTTTTCGTGGAAGGTTTTGTTTGGTAGGAAAGGAAACAGCCTAACTTAATTTAGTCAAAATGGTTGATGGACACGAAACAATTTTCTGAGAAAAGTTGTCGTCCGATAGGACAAAATAGGGCTTTGACAGAATGACTATGTACTGTCCTAGGTTGTGCTGACGTGCATTTTGTGTGATTTATGTCAATTCTACTTTTCCCAGACAAGACAAGTGACTGTCTGGCTCACCACCACATACACTTGAAATCGCAATGTGAGATCGTGTGTGTTTTTTATGTAACTTCAGACATCGCCCATGCCGTGTATCATGTCTTAGTGCTGCACGATAAACGGAGTACAAAATGACACTCCCACAATTTTATGTCAAGCAAGTTTGATTAAATTCTACGTAAAACTTTCTTACTACTTGTATCATAATTTATGTTTTCAAATTCTTGATTTTGAAATTTTGCAAAGGTATTAACATTGGCTGTAAAAGTAATAGGCACAATAGACATGTGCATTTTGTGTGCTTAGCACGCCTTATGAAGCAGATCAACTTCTCAGTCACACTTTTTGACCTCGCGAACGTGAAATGCGCTGACATTACCCTTGGAGTTAGGTTTAGGTGTTATTAACAGGTCGCCTTCAGTGGTTAAATACGGTTAAACAATCAGCTTTTTCTTGCCTTATCAGCTTATGCCCATAAAGTCACATATCTGATTTGATTTAGCCCAAACTGCAAAGATTGATGGTTTTAAAAGTTAGTCTTAAGCTCATGGGAAAAGTAGAAGTACATACTGCTTTCAAATTATTGGTAATTCATTTCGTGTGAGGAGTCCTGGTTCTTGCTGATAAGTAGGAAGTAATGTCTCCGTAGTCATAACCTCTCTTAACCCAGAGCACCACAATCACTTGGTGCGTTTGATGACTGCAAACCTTTAGGTGCAAGTGCATAATTTCGTACTTCCTGCTAAACGAATAACCGTTCCGATGAATCCGTAACGTGGAGAACCTTAGCGATGTCAGAATCGGGAGTCTTGAAATTCCTTCGGTCAGTCTGTTCAAATGTAGACCCAAGCAGTCACCTCGTGCGTTGATGTAAAACACAGGAAAGGCGTCAGACACTAGGTGATTCTTGATGGGACCAGTTAGGGACTACTCATCTACTATTCTCCCCCAGCGGAAACCTTGGTTAAAAACAAGTTAATTGATGTTTTGGAGGCTGCAATGCGCTTTGTGATGAATCGTCGGGCGCAAAGCCGTGTGACTCACATTTCGCGGCCTTGAAGGCAGCGCGTGCGCCACGTTCTGTTCACCCGGGTAGCTTTTGGGGACAGACAATTCAATTGTCCGCACGGCATGTGTGTCCTGTAAATTGTGTGCCCATTTTTTTGTAATAAACCAGTTTTGGTAATGGATTTGAGAAAAAGCAAAATGTGTGGCTTATCTGTTTTTTAGAAGTCTTTACGAAAACTTCCAAATTGACTAGGCAATTTTCTCTTTGACACATTTTAATGTTTGGGACTTCGAAGCACTGACGTGAGAGTCTGATAGTGTGTTTATCGATCACAGTTGCTATTAGTGTTTTTTTCCTTTACATCTCGACAGGGCATAGAGCGATATCTGAAGTAGTAATCGCATTTTCGTCCCTAGAACAACCGAATGCATTACTTGTATTGACAACCTAAGAGGGCATAGATTGTGGTGAGTGGACGTCTTTTATCTGGGGCATGGTCACGAACCTGTATCTAACGTCCGTTGAGGCGGTTTGTCAGTGCAAGCTGCCATTGTATTTACTAACACTTTCGAGCCAAACAAAGGCTCTTTTTTATACGCAACCGCCAGCGTAAACATCAATGACCTGTGGTTTTTTTCAAAGCCAGGGTTCCTATGTTGATGACTTTTTTTCGAATAAATTAAATATATGCACGAAAATCTCTTGGGATTGCGAAATAATATATTACTCACTTTGTTCTGACATGATTATTACAACGAAGAAACCTTTCCAAGTAATTAGTCAGCAAGCAGTTCAATTGTTACTTCTGTCCTTTATAGCGTCAAACGTTTTAAGCATTTACGGTGTCTGACTAGTTTTCAATATAATTCATCGACAGTATAATATCACGGGTCTTAATCTTACTCACAAACAACGACATTGATTACGAAAGTGTGGCCAGTCATTTTGCGAAATCGAGGACATTATTTAATCACAGAATAAAGCAACAGAAAGCAACGAAAACCATTACAAGATTTTCTAAAATTATGCTGATTTTTTGTTGTGCATAGTCTCGGTTTAGGGATTTCCCTAATTTTTCTCACTTATTTTATGGTTCTCTCAGTTTTAGTACGATTCCCAAATTTATGCGAGCTTGCATATTAATATTTTAGGAGCTGTTAGTTTATTGTCATTTATTCAAACCCCCTACTTGTTTTTTTATGCGTACCTGAGATTGGTCAAAAACCAAATTTTTTCATAAATTAATCAACCAAATTTTGGCCAGTTTTAAGTCAATTTACCGACTTTGCCTCCCTTTGTTTCTCATCTTTGTACTTTTTATGCACAGAAATTCGTCCTACATTTTTGCAGCAAACGTTTGAAATATAAACCGTTTCTGCACTACTGACACGACACTGTTCAATGATAAAGAGTTTTCATTCAGTGATTTGTAGTTGGTTTTAAAAACCAGAATTTGGTGACAACGGGCCTCTCAAGGCATTGAGTTCAGCCCATTATAAGTTTATAAAGTTGCAATTCGCATGCCAAAACATTGACTGACTGACTGACGCGTGTCTATTCAATTTCAGTCAATGCCACAACATTAATTCACATTCAATTATTAGTTCTAGTATTAAGGAATCACTCTCTTGTGTAGCTGGTCAAAGGCTTACAGTGAGTGAATGTTTCATGAGGCAAGTCATTGCCGCGATGTCACGCAGATATGTCTCCTCACGTTACTCAAATGGGCTGCTATGTCAAGTAGGCCTACACAGCTTCAGCCTACTGATAGTCAATTTTCGGTAGGAATGACAGGCCTATTCTAAATCCTTGTTATTTACCCTGCCTTCCCCCCGCCGTCAGTGCGTAAATGAAGAGTTATCAGTCATATTCTGACAGACCGTAGCTCACTGTTCACGGACTTTTTTTGGACACACGCACCTTATGTTTTCATACACAAATTCCAAAATTTTCTGATTTTGCGGGTCATTAACAAGAAGGTTAGAATGTTACCCCAGCAAGACAGTTTTGCTAAACCACCTCAAGCTTTACAAAATTAGCTTTTACTTCTATTCATGGCCTCTGTTTTGAAGGCTTAGAGGCTATTTTGTTTCAAAGTAAAGCTCTTTGTCTGTTTAAAAGGGGTTTACTGGTTTCAGACACATTCGCAGCTGTGCAATTTGAGGTCTGATAGTGCGGTTATCGTACCTTTTCGGACAGGTTTACCAACTGGGTGTGATTTCACATTCGTCCACATTTTGGGTTTTGCTTTCACTCTGAAACCTCTTTTACAGTGCTTTGGTTGTGGTTCATCTCTGAGGCTCCCGGGCTAGCAAACATTTGCGTTATAACCACCGTATAGTTTTTCCTACATTACAATCTCCTATGTTCATTTTGTTTATTTAGAATGAGTATCACACACGTCCTCCGCTGCCGTCGGTAATTCACAAACTCTCCTCTTACACCGGAGGCATTGAACCCACCGCGAATGAGACCAAACTGCTGCGACACAAACAGGCCACTCAAAAAGCCGTACGTTACCTATTTTTTGACCCTCTTTTACAGAAGTTGAAATAAGTTGTTCGTTTTTATATAAAAGCTCTTGCATGGCTGGCAATAATGGTCGTTTAACATTTGCAAAATCGATCTTTGGGATGCGTTGACAAGCGGAAGCCAGGATTGCAGC